ATTCGGCTGTATTATAAACAAGACCACTTTTTGATTCCAACATGATGCTGTTGTACAGAAAAAACAGGACAACTTTCATGTATTTTGATATATGTTATAGGTTTATATTTAACAATCCGTTATCCCGCTCAGCGAATGGGTATGCGGCAAATAATAGGTCGATTTTCTAGCTGTTAAATTTGGCAGCAGATTTGGACGTTTGTTAATGCATGGCACTCTCGAATTTACCAACTTCAATATACTGAAAGTTATCATTACCTACCTGTTGAATAGTGTGGATTTGTCTGTATTTTGCAAGAAAATAGAATATAAAATACATTTCATCCAATTCCTCATCTTCCTTTACGTCATAATAGTAATTTATTAATTTATGGGTTAATGAATTTCTTCAAAGCAATAAAAAACATTGTCCTCTCCATCCTAAAACACAGATAATATGTGTATGTATGTCAATCCCTACATCTCCCTGATGCATAATGCAATTACTATGGACATAGACAAAAAAATATGAAAAATGTTTCACAAATAATGTCTTTTAAGTCCAAAAATCATAAAAACTAGTAATGTTTGTCTTTTTGACTGGCGGGGATATCTATCTGTCACTCGCAGGGTTGCCAAGTCTAACGACGATCACGTCCTGTGGTGGAGGGTGCGAAATGAATCTTTTACATTTGCTGGTTTTGAATTTTTTTCGTGAAAACTTACTAGGTATCATGATTATAAGCATCTTTGGTAGATTGTTCGATCCGGAATGGGAAAGATCTCCTATTTATGCAAATATGTTTGGTATCATCTAACCGTTGCAATCAGTGCACAGTGACATATGATTTATAGCATAACCCGCTGCCCTATCAATACAAATTTAACATACAGGTCGCCTAGCCGTGAAGATGCAGTGGTTGGGATGAATATCACGGCAGCAACTGATAATTTGGGCATGTCTGGTAACAACGTATGAAGTGAAACTCGCTAACTTCACAAATTTGAAGATTTTGTACAATTTCTTTGAAAATGATGAAAGATATGTCTGATTTGGTAGGGTAATGGCGCAGCCAAATGGCAGTACACTCTTTCTGACACAGTCCGGATCGAAGGATGACGATACTCGTGAAATGTATTGATACTTCTAAATATAGGATCGTATCGAACATCTCTACTGTCAAGATGTATAACCTAAAGTACCGACCGAGCTATTTTGCGGCGTCATGGAAATAATTTTAAATTTTCATTTGCATTTTTTCAAGTGTTGTGCAATGATTTTGGGAAAAATGTCACGAATAGTCTTATAAAGCATAGTAGAGTATATATCAACAGTTGGCGGAACTTACTCCACTGGGACCAGCAGGGTGAAACGGAATATTAATGCACAATCTGGCAACACTGTCGCACCCTCACAAAATGACCGCTGACAACCACACAAGTCACCCTGTTGTCATTGAATAGCATGGAATTAAACCTTCAGAGTATATGTTTTGTGACTTGTACCAAGAGTTAACACATCCCACACATGTGTCACTCCTTGAAATGCAATAATCAGCTGTATTCAAATAACGTCTAATATCAATATAACCTAGAATGTGTACTCGTGAAAAAAGAAAAATATGGCAAATTTGTAGTTTTTTTTGCAGGTTTTAGGCTTGCTGGTAGCTTTAAGGAATATATTTGGGAATTTCTTAATCGCTGTGAATATAGTGTGGATGTTTGTACAGTTCCTGAACAACGAAAAACATTCAACTTGGATGGATGTATGGATATCAAAAAACCTGAATGGTTTTGTGGGAATATCAATCTAAGGTGCCATAATGGTTCTGATGAACGGCAAGTAAATGAATAAATGTTTGGACACGAGCAATATCTTTTGGTAGAGCCTGTCATCAAGTAGGTGCTTAATGGCTATCTGCAAGAGGTTTATAGGAAAAAAACACCCAGTATCGCATATCAATTGAAGAAAATAATATAAACATGAATAAAAAATCAACAATAGTAATTAAAACATGAATTTTATTAAAAAATCCAACATTTCTCTAAATTTTGACTGAATTATATGTCATTTCTTAATATTCAATAAGCTGGTGATGTTTCAATGACAAGCTGTCATCTTATACTTTGACAGTATTTTCTTTTCAACATTTCATAGCTATTGGTTGCTAAAATTTGTTGATTGGAACTTGAAGCTCATTCGTTGTATTTGACAGTCGGTTACCCTATAGGTGGAGAATAACGGACTGTTGTTGGTGAAATTGGCCCTAAGACTAGCACCACTAGAAGAAGCCTCAGTTTGTTCCGCAAGCTCGAAACCTTAGAAACAAACAAAGGAGCTGTCGAATCGTTCAGTTCTCTATGTAGGAAGTTCATCACGCGGGGGTGACATGGAGGAGAACACCATTGACATAGCGGTAGAAGAGAGCTGGATCGGAAGGAAGGGAAATGCCCTTAAACTATCCGTTAGACAAGAGTCATCGAGCAGCCAGGCTGCGCTCCTCTGAATAGCAACGAGTATGCATAATACGAACGGGGTGGCAGCACCCCAAACATGTGAGCAGTACTCGAGGTTAGGGCTTATCTGCGCCTTGTTCAGGATGAAGAGGCTATGCTCCATGCTACCTTTGAAACGAGACCACATACCGAGACCTTAACATACCTTATTTGTGTTAACATCACAAATCAAGTTCCACAATGCGTACATACAAAACTGCATAGCAACATTTTATTCAGTGGGCTGCACCGCCCACAAGCACTCCAGACCGTCTGTCGCACTGTGGTCGACCTTTTTCAAAATCTTCCAAAATCATTTTTAAGTAAAACCAACCTTCAACATTCAAAAATTGATATTATTTCCTACCATTTGCTCGTTATCTTCTATAATTATTTTTCCTTCTTCTATTTCCCTGTTTTTCGAGAGAACAGGCTGACAGATTAACAAAAATGACCGACAACAAAGCCTTGACACTCATCGACGAATCAACTATTAGAATATACAGAGTGCCGCCACATAACTTCCTTTTTTAAAATGCACCATTCATTCCGTTGGTATATTAACGAAGAGCCAGTGGTATCGTTCGAGAGGCTATAAAGCTTTGTCCCGACACAGTTCAGTCGTCATTATGTCTTAGAACAGTAAACAGCGTGCTTCTGCCGTTGAGGCCTACTTTTCAGTGATCGCAACCCAGTGCACCTTTCGGAATAGCGTTAATTTAGCCACGTTGACTTCTCTCTCGGACCGAAAATCAATTGTTACACAGGTCACTACGTTCAAAAACTCAAAGTGCGACAAGACGAAGAACTGGAAACCTGAAAACATTGAGGCGCTCTCATCGCTTCAGTGTTGCGATCACCATCGCATGGCGATATGCGCGCAAATCTGTATCTGCCCTTGGACTATACGATCGTTCTGTCAAGAATTCTTCATGATGATCTTCATTTCCTTCTTTACAAGATGGCAATTGTGCAGGAACTTTCTAAACGTGACTTCAGTTCTAGGATAAACGTGTGTCTTCTCGAAGTCGTTCCCGAGGACGCTATTGTTTTTTAATGACTAAGGCCATTTTATAATTTGTCTGGATTCGTCAACAAATACAACATGTGCTACTGGGCTGACACCAATCCTCGAGAATTGCGTTAAAGGTATTTGCCTCCACCTAAAGTCACAGTGCTGTGTGCAATTTCCTCAGCTGGAATTATTGGTCCTTGAATTTTTTTCCACGGCTAGATGAGCTAGAGGACATTTGGCTTCAAGAAGATGGTGCAACGGCACTCACTTCAAGAGCATCGCTGGCTTTTTTGAGAGACTACTTCCCAGAGCGCCCCATTAGGGGCAATTTGGACTGGCCCGCTCACTCTCCCAATTTGGCCCCACGTTATTTTTTTCTATAGGTTTTTTTAAATCCCATGTTTCACATGTATGTATAGTCCAGTGCCTTAGTCAATTCCCCACAAGTTGGCAACCTTGTCCAAACTACCTGTGAATAACGAAAGATGAGGCAAGAAGAAGCAGCAGGGTGCAGACAGGAGGCGGGAACCGACACATCCACTGTCATTTTTTTCACCGAGATGAATATTTATGTCGTATCTTGATTAAAAACGCGAAGGATCCTCATTAAATTATACTTAAAGGATTAAGAATTCGAAAGGAAGGGTTTCGTTATTGCTGGCCGGTGCTGCTCCGAAAAATAATTAAGATTTTGTTTTGGGTGGGTTTTTTTGTCGGTCGGTCCGTGCCTGGGTATGTGGTGAATTTATGGGCGATATGAGGATAAATGACAGGAGCGTCTGGTGATTGCCGAAGAACAGTGGCCGGGAGGAGTGTTGGTAGGCGTGATGGAGTAATTTGAAAAGTTGATTCCAATTTGTTCCAGCCAGATGTTGGAACGGTCTATTCATTCACATTTCCGATCTTTTATCTTTATTACAAAACAGGCAGTAGCAGAATAGGTGATTCCAATGAATTCGGACTAGGTAAAAGAAGCAAGTATGTGATTTGTTTTGATCCACTACGCCCGTAGTCAAGATGCAAGTGCATACTACAAGTCGATCAGGTTTAAGCCGCCTGGGTGACAATTGTTGAAACTTGGCATTAAATTTGTATTTTTCTATGCAAACGTATACAAGTGCGTGAACATGAACCATAGATCAACTGAGTCCACGAGATGCAAAACTCGCTAATCGACAAAAATTGAAAAAACCAGTTAAGCACGCCATCTTGTTCGTACAATATTTAATTAATATTTTACACAAGTATTTAGAGCAAACCTAGCTTTTTAACACAGGAAATCTGGCCCAAATATCATGACTTGATGCAAAACTCGCTTTATGCATTGACGCGTGCGATGCAATACTCTCTATTTGTAATGCGTCCAATCACAACAGGGGATTTTACTCACGTGCTGAGTGACGAGCATCAGATGTTGGTTGTTCACTTGTGTGGTTTGAGTCAGTTGCGTTTTAGCGGTGTTCTGACTTGTTTGTTTAACTTAAAGTTTCCTATTTTTAAAAGTATTGAAATGGAAACAGAAAGTGAAATTTCTGAAGCCAAAGATAGTGTTACTTTAGCGATACAACCTACTCCACAGAACATGCGTAGAAAGAAGATTACGACGGAAAGTAAAAGGCAGAAGCTCAAAAGATTGAGGTAGTAAAAACGACGTCGATTTGTTAGAATAAATTTTGTTATAAAACTGTATTATTTTAGGTACACTCCGACACAGTTACCGGAGTACCCGACCTGTGGACATAATGGCCAGCCGGGCAAACCGTATTATTGTACCACTTTAACAATGAGCCAAATTCAAGATTTTCATAGAAAACTGTATGCATCTAAGGAAAAATGTAAACAAGATAGTTTTATAATTGCAAGTTGTGAAGGCCAGAAGTGCAATAGATCGAAAGTGAAAAAGGAAAAAATCTCCATATTCTATTATGTGAGAACTTCTGCTAAAAAAATCCGTGTTTGTAAGACAGCATTCTTAAAAATCATCTCCCTTAGTAGAGACCGGATTGAGAGAGTCATGAAAAATTTTGTTTTAAAAGGGAATATGCCACGAGAAACAAGAGGAGGTGATCGCATCCTTAATAAAAACGATAATAAAAAGTTGGCAATAAAACATTTTATTGAATCTCTCCAATGCGTAGAGAGCCATTACTGTCGAAGTAAAACCAGTACTCGTGTTTATTTACCATGTGAACTTAATTTTACAAAATTATGGAAAATATACGAATCCAAAGTTCGAGATAACGAATTACATGTTAAATTCGGATTTTTTAGGAGATACATAAATGCTAATTACAACATCGGATTCGGCACCCCAAAAACCGATTTATGTTTCACCTGCTTAAGAACCAAGGAAAAGTTGAAAACTAAAAATATTTCTAATTCAGAAAAGCAAATTATTATCACCGAGCAACGGGTACATAGACTCAAAGCAAAAGCATTTTTTACCTTACTAAAGCAGCCGCCAGAAAATACAGCGGTTTTTTCATTCGATTGTCAGAAGAATTTGCCTTTGCCGAAACTTCCGGATCAAGATAGTTATTTTAGTCAACAAATTAACTACTACAACTTTACAGTTATTCATGGATCATCGGCAGCACACTTGGTTCCAGAAAATGTTTTTTCTTATGTATGGACGGAGGTGGATTTTCCCAAAAACTCCAATTCAATAGCTTCAGCTGTCTGGGACGTACTGAATAAGGTTAACTTTCCCGATGAAATTGATACAATTCGCTTATTTGCTGATGGATGTGGGGGGCAAAATAAGAATATTATAATGATGACCATGCTTTCTGTTTGGTTGATGACGAAAGCTCCCCAGAACATAAAGTCCATTAACGTAATATTCCCCGTAGTAGGACATTCTTTTATACCACCCGATAGGTTGTTCGGAATGATTGAAAGAGAAGTGAAAAAGAAATCTGTTATTTCAAAACCTTCTGACTACGACCGTATCATAGCAAATAAATCGACAATCCGGAAGCTGGGTTTAGATTGGCAGGTGTACGACTGGAAAAATGAAGCACAATTAAACACTAAAACACCATCATCATGGCACTTTCAGTTTAATAAGGCTAAAAGGTTTGTGCTTACTAAAGGGAAAAATAATCCACTAGTACGAGGCGAGCCCAATTATTGTGTTGACGTGGGCGAAGCAAAGTCTGTTGTCAAGAGAGGAATGAAATTGACATGCATTAATCCTACTCAACTTCCTATTGGCTGCAAACTCAAAGGCGATAAATCGACAATAATTGCTCTCCTCGAAAAACATTATGGAAATGCCTGGGAAGAAAATCCTGATTTGTTTTTTTTTAAAGAAAATCTTGTTAACCCTAGAAGAGCGGAAAACCAGACTTCTGTAAATGATGTTGAAGCTGGCTGCAGTGGTTTAAGACCGTGCGATATTACTCTACAAATTTAATGTAATCTATAAGTAACTATTTAGTTTTTTTGTGAATAAACTTTGTTCCAAACTATTTATGTCATATTTTTTGGTGCAAAACTGGCTAAATGCTTTCTTTTTTCTTCATTTATTTATTAAAACTGCAGAATTTTTTTAAAATACGTTCAAAGCTATTAGAGATGTATATGCTCTGAAGGCAGGTTAACATTATTAATTGATTATTAACAAATTTAATTTAGGAAACGTTTTTCGCACTTTTCTCAACTTGTCGTTTACTGCATTAAGCGAGTTTTGCATCTCGTGGACTCAACTGTAGACAAGAAACTCTCTAAGTGCAAAATGGCACTAGGTAGTCATTGCAGAAGCCTTCTGTTGTGCTCGACAAGAAGTTCTGAACTAATGCAGAGAACTAGAAAGAGGACACAAAAGATGTGTGCAGAATGAAGTGCCAAAACAAATAATACATTGTAAATAGGGCGGAATTTTTCAAGTGATATTTTATTTCTAGTTTGAGTAGCACGTATATTATTTATAAACCTCATGCATGCCCGCGTCTGCCGGTTTTCCCCATGTTTATTGTTATAAAATATGTCCTTTCTAATTGTCTGCTGGTAATTTAGACAATAAACATTATTATTATTGTTATTAATAATAATAATATTATTATATACATATTAAGGGTAGTTAATAAAGTCTCTGACTAAAGTTCAACGGGTTATTTCTTGGATAACTTTGAGGAAACAAGGACTTATTAACGTGGGTTCGATGTCACTGAAATTTATTACGAGTAATATTTAGATGGTACTGACGTATCGCCAAGGATTTAAATAAAGTTGAATAAGAAAAACGTGCTAATAAAGAATTAAATAGTTTAAATTTGATGACCTGTATGAGAACTCTGATGTATAATAAGGTGTTTTTCTTTAATGATTGTACTTGATTTTTCCAACAAAGTTGTCATAAAGTTATTAGGAATTTTTCAAAGAAAGCGGGAAATAATACCGAAAACTTTTACTCCCTGTATCTTGAAAACGGAGCAATTCAGTCAGTAGGTTTCGATCACCTATTGAAAAGAAAAAACAGTGGCGCTTTTCACACACTTTCACTTTTATTGTGCGGCAACACTGATCATTTGTTGACTACAAGTAATTAAAAATGTATATACACAAAATACAAATACAACATACAGTGGCGAGAATTCAGAATGCGTTTTGTACAATTTAATTTCCGAATTGTTCAGTTTGTGATTGATTGCCTGTAGCTGATTCCCATTAATGGATTATACTGTATGATATTCTTATTGAATGCTATAAAATTTCGAGTATTGCATCCTTTGCAACTAATTTATTTGTAATTAATAGATTATATACATGGTATTCATTTGAAAACTTCCCACCACGGATTTATCGAAAACCCCTGTTAAAAGAAAAAACCCAGAAACACGTCAAAATATTTATCAAGGGGGACACCTTTTTAACCAAAAAATACTTCACCCGCTTTCACCCTCAGCCCCCCAGGGTCATTCCCTTAAAAATTTTCAATGGCCAGAGGTATCGAGTAACAGCTTGTTTGAAAGGTCTTTCGAACTCCTTCATTCTGACGTTTGGTTTTTTAAAATCAGTCGATTCTTTTTCGAGAAACTCAGAAAAATCTTTATTTATCTTAATTTGTTCAGATAGAAAACAAAACACACAAAAATATCAATTTTTATTTCAATGTGCTCATCTCAAAGTACTTTTCTGTAGCGTACCGTCGGAGAGGTAGAAGTTATACATTTTTGAAATTCGGAGCTTGTTTGAAGTATTGAAGTGACAACTTTTCAATACGTATGGCAAGGATGCATCTCTGCTCGAGAGGAGTTCTCCGTTAACGGGATTTTGGATTCTAATAGTGAGTGTCAAGTCCGCTATATCTCGCGGAAGGACGACTGAGTACAAGCGATACGTTACGACTTTCAGACCACTATTCCACACAATCCCAGTGTTCCTGGTTTACCGTATCAGATACTGGTAGATGGCTTGTTAAGTATAGTGTTGATACCACGGGGTCCGCAAAAAGGGTCAAAGATGGCCTGGTTGCCGGGCTTCGGCCCCCACCACTACCACTACTACTACTACTAGGATATGCATCGGACTTGCGAAAGGGCATGTGCCAACGTTGGGCTTTTACCTGAAACATTTAAAAAAAATCGTCAAGTAGATTGACTCAGTACTTCCTACTCAACGCTATCATCACTTCATAAAGAATTATGTTCGGCACCCTCTAAGAAAAAAGTTAGGAACGAACATATACGAGTCCCTTCCCACTTCAGTTGGCCCACTTCAAGATTTGTACCAAAATATGCCTTTATAAACTAAACATGACGAAACTATTTACTTCCAAATCAATTTATTTTCTCAAAAACATCTTAGATACACTCTAGTGGTAAAAAATACATATTTGAAATCACTTAGACCTATAACTAATAGAACATCTGAACAAATAAACAATGTGCGAATAAATGCGCGAAGTTAACAAAGCAACAATTGAAAGACTACCATTGGGCAACATCACCTTTATTCTTTATTGCGGCTGAAATTCTTTGGGGCATAGTGTTAACCAAGTTTTGGCAAAAATTTGGTGTAAAACAATCCCATATTTCTTGAAGATTTTGTCTCAGTTCGGTGATTGTACGACCAGGATGTTGTCGTAGAACCTTTTTCATCTCGTGCCACAAAGTTTCAATAGGTGACAGATCTGGACTGCTAGAAACCCATTTCAAAAGCGGTACATTATTTTCTTCGATCCATTTTATAGCCTTTTTTGAGGTATGGCACGCAGCACCATCTTGCTGAAACACAAAATCTTAGCCGAATGTCAAACATTCTTCCATCACTGGTAAAAGCGATTCTTCTAAAATTGCCAAATATTTGTTTGTATCCACATTTCCATCAATAAAATAAAGTTTTCCTACTGCTTTTGATGACGTACTGCCCCACACCATAATGGCTGCTGGAACTTTCACTATTCTCTTCAGACAGTCAACATGCGAATAACTCTACTGCGACTGTCACCAACACAAACTTCGAATCGGGCCTCATCACTCCATTGTATTGCACACCATTGTTGAGGTGTCCATTGTTGAGGTTCTTTAGCCCATCTAAGCCGATTTTTCTTTTGCAGTGTAGTTAATAGTGGCTTTTCTTTGGCCTATAAACAAGTTGTGCAACTTTAGGGTTTTTACTTCACTTTTTTTTACAAAAAAACTTACCTTGCAAGTGCTAAATCCCAGTTTGTGGGCGTCTCTATGAGTTGTGGACCTCAAAATTCTCCTCCCGACAGGGTCACTCCACAGAGCACTTAATTGTAAATAATTGGTACGCCTGTTTTTTACGATTATTCTTCTTAATGCTCTTCGGTCGGCATTTGTGATATTACTTTTTTTCACATATCGTGGCTTAATATTAACTGAACCAGTTGCGTTATATTTTCTAACAATATTTCTCACACTGTACCGCGATAAGTCTAACAAAGTTGCAATTTCTGAGTTTGATTTCCCATAATTAAAAAATTTAATTATCAGTAACCGAATTTTCTCACTAATAACCTTTCCTCTACCCATTTTGAAAACCTTAACTACCCAAAACTATTTTAAACGTATTCTGACAGCTGTGAATAATAAAAACAATTGTCATGGCTTTTATTTTTCACAGCCATCTATGCGTTATAGACTTATTTTGCATTGAAATGAAAATAGGTTGATATTCTGTAATCGCAACATGTTAGTTTTATGCTGCAAATTTGATTAGGGAGTGATAAAGTTATATATATAAGTAACTCAAAAAAAAAACGATAGATGGACCACCCTTTATTATCAAAATATCCATTGTTAATATTTTAAACCTATAACACCCTGCTACATTTTTGTTATTTGTGTTTGATAAGAAAAAAACTGAAGTGGGAAGGGGCTCGTATAACAAAGAAATCAAACGGATCAAATTACTCAAACAGACTCATACAATTATAGTCTGCAGTTTTACCATATTGTTTATTGCAATTTTGGGCTCCTTAGGATTTGGATTCTTGAGAAAATCTGCTCTCCTCGCTCTACAAACGTTGTTGGGGGCAGTTACGCTTTCACACAAAAATTATCTCTTTTCGATGCATGCCCCCCACTCCTTTGCCCTGAGAAAAGGTCCTGCGGGCGCATATGATCGAAACTATGTATACATCAGGCATGTATGATTATCGGTTCACAGCCAGTCGAGCAGCGGAACCGTATGATCGACTTGCGACGATCGAAAATATTTCTCCACCAGGGAGGATACTTGTACGCGGAAATCTATGATGAGTGAAATACCTGTATATCTTTTCACCCCAATCTTTTTAAATGATCAGGATTCTCTGAAACTTCAAAAACCAAAGTTATCTCTGTTCTTTAATTTTTTACCCCTAGTTCCGCCGCCACAAGATCAGTTTTCAAAAACTATAAAGTTTTTTCGTCCTTGGCGTAGTAGTAACCACAAAAAATGTTGTGACGTCACGACGCGCGAGGGCGGCCAGCTTCAGTACTCAACACAGAAAATGTCATAACTTCCTGAAATTTCTATTTATTGGGATAGTCCATTCATATTTGTGATATACAAGTGAAACTAGCAGTACATATTTGTGACTATAGAGGTACTAAATATTGTCAGACTCACGACTTGATAAATTTAGTAGACAGGTAAATACCAACCATCATTTCTGAAGCATACCTCAAGCTTCCTTTATTTATATTAAATTGGAAAGACCCATTGGTAGCTACAAAAAAATAATGTATTCTTAAAACAAAATTTCGTTCACGAATTATCGAATCGCTCGATATATAAATTTCAACTGACTGTATAATTGATGAATTTGCGACTGCCCTCGAGAGCGGCAGACAGACGATCTAAAATTCGGTCTAGTTACACAGGAATTAATGAATTTATGGATTTCTCCGAAAACGGGCGCATTTGAAATGCTTATAGATTCATCAGACGCTAGTCAAGTTGCCT